GCTGGCATCTGGCTCCCAATTTCACTGTCAGGGAGTAGTATAAATAATGAGCGATGGGAGGCAACGTGGCCCACCACCTCCTCCCAAAGAAGGCAGCCCCTCAGCCGCCCAGGCTGCCCATCTTTGGTCTCACTCTCATGATTTTCTACACTGGGGTAATGAGTTGACTGCTTTGTGGGTCTTTGGGGTGAGCAGGTGGAAGCTTGATTTAATGCCTGCTGACTCAGAGGAAGAAGGGGGTCCTGGCTGGCCTCTGATAGAGGTGGATTTCTATTTCTTCTCCAGCTAAGAGCTGGCTAAGGGAGGATAGCCAAGCATCTGGATCCCCAGAAGCCCCATCTCTGCTGCTGCTTGGGTGAAAACAGAAGGAAGAAATCTGCACAGTGCTTCCCAGCTCTTTCCTGTTGGCCCCTCAGTAAGCAAACTGCAGCTAGAAAACATTGGAGCTGGTCTGGAGTAGGAATTATACTGGCAGGGTGTCTAGGAAGGCTGCCTGGCTTACCACTCCTCAAGGAATGCTCCATGCAGAAGAAAGAAATGCTCACTTACAGGACAAGGTGAAACAAAGCTCAGACAAAACTGAACACTAGTGACATGATACAGGCATCCAGAAGAAAAGGCACCGTGACTGTGCCCTGGGAGATCAAGGTGGTCCATGTGGAAGTAGACTGGAGGAAATTCCAAAGGAGAAGGCCTGGGAGGTGGCATCCTAGCGAGTCCTCTGGGGGGCACTAGGGAGCATTAGAGACTGGAAGTGGTGCCTGGAGACCTCAGAGCTCCTGAGAGTTTTTTGTTTTGTTTTGTTTCTGATTCCATACTTAAGAATGTATATTTTATTACAAACATTGTAGGGGAAACTAAAGTTTTTTAAGTTTGTAACAAAGAAAATGATATGCTTTAGTAAAATGATGTGTTTCCTAGAAATATACCTGTAATTCCCTGTGCCCCTGAGAATGGTTAGCTAGGCAAGGAACTACAAGTTTCATGCATTAATTTTTTGGGCAGTTGTTTTGTTTATCTGTGTGTTTGATTTGAGACTGGAGTGTTACTATGTAGCCCAGGCTGGCTTTCAACTCATGATCCTTCTATCTCAAGCTTCCAAGTGCTGGGATGTCAGGTGTGTGCCACATTTGGCAGTTGCCTGAAGTATTCTCTATTCACAGATGGGAAGACTGAGGCTCAGAAGGACTGAACTTGATCACTCACATATCTGTGCAGGGATGTTATATCCAAAGCCCATTCTCGTAGCCTGGTATTACTCTGCTTCCTCCAGAATTCACATGGAGAGCTTGCCATTAGCAAAAGTTAAAACAGAACCAAACAAAATGACTTTATACCCTTGGATAAAGTTTGTTTCCCTATTATTTGTAACTTTTCAATTTTCATCATTTTTGCCAAAGTACAAAATATTATAAATTCCTAAACAAAAATAAGTCAAACTCTAGAGATAAGAGGAATAGTATTAATTTAAAATGGCATGCGTGTAGACTGTTGAACAAAGGACCACTCAGAGAATATGGTCCAGAGTCAGTTGTTTTGAACAGAAATTTATATAAACTGGGACAGGCTCAGTATACTCAGCTAATGAATTGGGGTGCTTACTGACCTGGGGTGCAGCTCAGTGACAGAATGCTTGCCTGGTGTGCAATTGCCTGGTGTGCATGAGGCCCTGGGTTCAACCCACAACAATGCAGAGGATGGGGAGAGTACTTACTCCCAGCTTTGTAGCGACACTTAAGTGAGTCCAGATAGGTGAAACACTTAGCCTAGAGTGGGGGACCTACTTAGGATGCTAGCAATTAACTCTTATTCAATGGAACCATGCCAGTCTTTTATCCCCTGCAAAGAACAACTTAAGGTTTTAGATAATGTTCAACAAAACAACTGAAATCACCCCCAAAAGACAGCCACAAACCTTTTCTTTTGAAAATGTCATTCAAAATAATTTCAAATGTACAAAATGTTGCAAAGATCAAAGTACAAAGAACATTTGCCTACCAAGTTTTTACCAAAACTTGATTACAATAACATTGTATTCCTTTGCTTTGTCATTTGAGCTGCAGATTGCTACAGATCTCTGTCTCTGGTTACTACTGATAACTGTTTTGTTTTGGGGTTTTGAGACAGGGTAAACTGTAGTTCAGGCTGATCTTGCACTTAGTAGATAACTGAGGCTGATCTTGAATTGATCCTCTTTTTACCACATGTTGGGATTTTTAGGCATGAGGCACAATGCCTAGCTTATTCATAACTCATGATTACTCATTTTCTACTGCTGAGCAACAAATCACCACGCATCTATCTATTTACAACACCATAATCTCTGTGAGGCTACATTTGTATAGATCCAAAATTTGATGATAATGTAACCAGGAAAACTGCTAAAGGTAAAATCAAAGACAGCCTTTCTAATTATAAGGAGAAATGTTCAACATCCTTAGTGACAGGCAAACACAAACCTAAATTACACTGAGTTTGGTGTGGTGTCACACACTATTAAATCCAGTGAGGCAGGTGGATTTCTGTGAGTTCCAAGCCAGACAGCAGTTCATAGTCTGGCCCTGTCTCAAGCAAATAAAGAGACAGACAGACAAACAAACAAAATCCCAACTATGCTGAGATTTCATCTTGCCCTAGTCAGAATGGCTATACTTAGAAAAACAGATAACAAATACTAGTAAGGATTCAATGTGTGTGGGGGTTATACAGCATTGGTGGGAATGTAAATGTAACCATTTTCTAGAGAAAGGGACATGGAGAGTCTTCAGAAAACTAAAATTAGAATTTACATATCATCCAGTTTTGCACTCCTGTGTTCTTCCCTGAAGAAACAGAGGCACCACAGGAGAGAGATGCCCGCAAATCTATGCAGTATTCACAGTAGCCAAGTTATAACATCTGCCTGAGTGCAGGTCAATGGTGAATAAACGAGGAAAAGATTTTGTGTGCAAGTGTGCACATTCCCAGTGGGTCATTATTTGGCCACAAAGAAGAGCAAAACCATCTTATGTACTGGATTGGAGATAACCAGATTAAGAGATTAATATGCTAGTTTCAAAATATGCAAACAGGGAGGGTGCCGGTAGCCCAAAGAGCTGCATGTGACCAGCATGAGCTGGGGTCTCTAAACATTTCCTCATGGGGCAATGTCCAAATTACTGAAGCAAACACTTATTAGGGTTAATTATAGAAATATGAGTGGTTCAAAGGCAGCTACCTCTCTAGGAAGTCCTCTGGGCAACTTCCAGGCAGCTACATTACTGAAGAGTCCCTCCTGTAGTGTGGAGGGCTTGTGAAAACCTCCCATGTTGGAAATGGTTGTGTTTAAATCGAAGAAGACAGGCGCACAACAAAGCCAGACACAGAAAATGAGGGTGACATGCTTTCTGTCATATGTGAAGCCTAGAAAACACAGAGATGACATGGAAGTAGAAGGAGCTACCAAGGAAAAGGAAAGCATTGGGGGAGGGGTACATGAGAGCAATGGGGGTAGATACTGTGTAATTGAAGAGTAGCACCTGCTTGCATGGAAATGCCACAGTGCAACCCAGTGTTCTGTACGGTTAATATGGGCTAGACAGCAACAACACACAGAGATTAGAGATTGGCCTAGCTTCAGGAAGAAGCCACTTCAAAGATCCTCCCTTTTTGATGGACAAATTTAATTCCTCATAACTGAGGTGTTCATTTGCTTGTTTGCTATCAACTCTGGCCCACTTGGCCCTAGAAGTTACCCACATTTCTTGTATCACGGCCCCATCTATCTTCACAGTCGGCAGTGAAGAGTCTTCCTCATGGCGAGGTCCCCTCATGCTCTGAAATCCCACCAGTTTCTCTGTAGCAGCTCAGCAGGTAAGGCCGGCCTTAGCCAGGATCCTCTCCCTTTCCAAACAACAGACCTGGGATTTTAATTACATCTGCAAAACTCAAGAGCACCTAGATTTGCTTTTGGATAACTGGGAGATGTGTAAACATTTAGTTCATCAGGACAGGGATTTGGGGAGCCTCAGAGTCTGCCTGCCATATGCTATGCAACATAGCTATAAATCTATTTCAGAGGCTGGAGGGATGGCCCAGCGGTTTAGGGTGCTTGCTGCCTTTTCAGAGGCAAGTCTGCTTCTAGAAGCATCCAGCACAGTGAAGTCAAGACATTCCAACTAAAGACTTCAAGAGAAGAAATCTTTTCTGGGGATTGAATTTTGCATTATCTTCTTGCGTTGCCTGGACCCTAACTGTGGAGCAATACAGCTGTAGGTAAATTCTCTGTAAGTGGTGAAAATATTCCTGGGGTATGAAGGCGAAAAACAATAACAGAAGTATCCCATCTGGGTGGGTGGGATCGCTCAGTGGGTAAAAGCGCTTGTCACCAAGCTTGCCACTCTGAGTTTGATCTCCCAGTTCCTTCCACAGGCTGTTGGGAGAAAACCTCCTCCTGAAAACTGCCACCTGGCCGTCACGTGAACTCTGCAGCGTGCCCACGTACGCGCACACACTAATGGAGATACATAAAATAAAAGCACGACGCCTGAGGAATCTGGATGTGGTGGTGTGCCCTGTAATCCCAGCACTCAGGAGCCGGAGGACAGTTTGTGGCTTGCCTGAGCTGCACGAGAAGAGAAGGGGGGGAGGGAGGGCGGAAAGAAGGAAAAGAGAAAGAAAACAGAAAAGGGGGGGGGGGGCAAGAAAAGGCTGCCTTTTCTCACCGTGCACTTGGATAACCTTATGCTGCTCTCTGGGAAGCAAGGCGACAGGTGCAGGCCCAGGGGCCGTGGTAGGAGTACCAACCGAGGCCCTAGCATGGCCCGCTCCGGCCTTTTCAGCAGCACACCTCTTCCTCTGGGGGCCACCAGCTGTGTCTCGCCTGGCTCATCAGTGCCTTCTCCGTGTCTCACCTGGTTTCTCAGCTCATTCATGCCATCTGGGCAGGAGGAAGAACGAGCTGGCCCCACCTCACTGCGTCCTTCAAGAGGCTGATAAAGGGCACCGGGCTGAAGCGGGGCTGGTTCAACCAAAGGTCTTCTGACTTGCCTGGACGCTGATCCCTTGCTTGTCCCCAGCTCTACATGGTCGGCTCTCCCCTCATGGAGGAGGAGGAGGACATGTACCTGGACCTCTTCCTGGACCCCTATACGGTTCAGGTGAGCCTGGCAGCCACATGGCTGAGAACCAGTGCCGGGGTTGCTAGTGCTACCTTGGGGAGTCTCTTTGAAAAGCCAAATCTTCCCTAAGAGGCAGGCTCCATCCAGGCTCTTCAGCTGATTACAGGGTTGTCAATTAGACACCCTAGCCATGAAGTTAGATGGCCTGGTCCTGCTGGCAAAGGGACATTCTGCCTGCAGTCACCTTGGGTTCCAGAGCTTCTCCTTTGCAAGGTTCAGGTCAGGCTCGGGGCATCTGACTTCTCCAACTGGTAGTGAACAACTAGGCTCGAGCTATGCCCCTGCCTCAGCTTCCAAGGCTTGAGCTATGCCCCTACCTCAGCTTCCATGGTAGCTGGAACTAACAGGTGTAGTCACCACCTATGATTCATGGTTCATAAGATTTTTTCAAACTTTTTCTGTCTCTTCTCTCTCTGCCTCTCTCTCCCTCCCCTCTTTCATTCTCTCTCCCCCTCTCCATCTCTCTCCCTTCTCTTTTCTCTCTCTCCCACCTCTCTGCCCTTCACCCTTTTTCCCTCTCCCGTTTCCTCCCCTCCTCCCCCCATTGTGAAGTGGGTCTCTTTCTGTAGCCTGGGCTGTCCTAGAACTCACTATGTAGACCTTCAGATTCACAGAGATCCATCTGCCTCTGCTTCCTGAGTGCTAAGATTAAAGGTATGAGCCAGTGCTATAGAGGCTGAAGCCAGCCTAGGCCATGATGAGACCCTAACTCCAAAACAAAAAAAAATCAATTTAAAATATTCTTAATATTTTGATCTCAGTAACCTATTTATCTGTTCTAAATTCACATAATTTTTAAATCTCTCATTTGACTAGAAAAAAGCAATTCTGAGTCTTTAATGAGTGCTGATCATCAATTAAGACTTCCAATAATCAAATGCTTACTCTAAAATGTGATTTTATGTGGCCACAGAGATGTGGCTCGGGAGTTAGGAATAAGTACCAATCTTGCCAACAACCTGAGTTTAGTTCCCAGCACCCATGTGTGTGACTCATGACTTTCTGTAACTTCAGCTCCAGGGAGATCTGATGTCTTCTAGATTTCTTAGGCACCTGCACTCAAGGGCACATATCACCTTCACAATATACATAGTGAAAAAAATAGTAAAGAAGTCCTTAAAATGTGAATTTAAGACCAAAAGGGCATTTACGTCAACGCTTGCAATTAAATAATAGAGTACAGCTGCTCTTCAATTTTATAGGCATCTTGCGTATCTATTACACAGCTGGTGTTAGGGGCAATTTAGCAGGCTTTAGCTGAAGTAGGAAGCACATTGTATGATAAATGCCTTTTCTATATTTTAAGATGTAGTTACAAAATATTTATTTGTTTTTATTTTCTGTGTATGAGTATATGTATGCACACCATGTCCTTGACGGTGCCCAATGAACAAGTCTGTAAGAGGATTTCAGATCACCTTGAACTGGAGTTACAGATGGTTGAGAGCAGCTATGTGGGTGCCAGGACCCATAGGTCTTCTAGAAGAGCAGTTAGTACTCTTATGAACATCTTTCCAGCTCTAACATATACTCTTCAGCATGCTGGAACTCTGTAGTAGAATCTCGGTAGTACTTTGTAGGAGACAGGGTTTGGATTTAAGCAATATTGAATCGCCTTTCAGACTGAAGCCGTTGGCTTCCTGCCATAGCAGAGTGCCCTTGGTGTAATACTAGTGTTTTAATTTTTGTTGTTGTTGTTGTTTTTTTTTTTTTTTGCTTTGTAAACTGCCTAGGATGCCTTTCCTCCAGCCATGTCTCATCTCTTCAGCCCAAGAGCGCCTTTAGATGTGTACCCACTCAATCTGTCTAATCCAGAGGCTGTGTTTAGTCCCCATTTTGGTGGAGTCAAAGAAACATCCAGTGACTTTTCATCTGTGGATCTAAGCTTCCTTCCAGATGAGCTTGCTCAAGACAGTAAAGACCAGGCTGTCACTGGAAACAGACATGAAACTGAGCAAAGTCGTAAAACTCAAGATCAGCAATGTCAGTTACAGTTGCCTGGTGGGGAGGACAGTGGGCTAAGCTTGAACAATGGCAGTTCACCAGGCTCCCATGCCCACCTGTACCCTGGTGGTGCTGCCTTCAACCAGCCCTCTCCAGAAAAATCAAGCTCTGATTCCTTACCTGTGGCATCCATAGTATCCATGACACCAATGAACCCTGTTCCAGAATGCTCTGGAATTGTGCCTCAATTACAGTAAGTGTCCTTGTTTTTAAAGTGAGGGATGCTTCTGGGTGCATAGTTTATATTTCAGAACATGAGAACAAATTTCAGGATAAAGGTGTAAGGAGGAGAATTTCAGCTTGCCTTATTTTTCAGTTCTTAATGGATCCTCGCTAATGACAGTCTGGTTACTTACAAAAGGAAGCACGAGTTCATGGTCTCCTAAGAGGAGGGTCAAGATTAACAACCACTTTCTTGAAAGATTGTATTGTGTATTCCAGAACACTGAAGTTGTTAACAATGGTAGTTACCGCTGGGTAAACACAAAGGATATGAAATTGAGTTTTGATTGCAAACTCCTTTGGATTTGTGGCTTCTGTTTTAGGATAGTGTTTTTTTTTTTTTTTTACTATAAGGTTAGGTTTTTATTATAAAATTATGTTTTCAAACTTTAGTTATGAAATGTAAGATGATGTGATTTTTAGCACGGTGTTGGGGTTTATGCTTTACTAAGGTCCACAATACTTGCATTTCGTCTTGAGAATTCTTCCCCTAGCAAGTTGCTAAGGGGAAATGAGTTAATGAAGCAAGTTAAGTTGGTGTTGAAACTATACCATTGTGATTTCTTGGGTTGGTTTGTTTGTTCAGGAATGTAGTTTCCACCGCAAACCTGGCTTGTAAGCTGGATCTGAGAAAAATAGCTCTGAGTGCCAAAAACACAGAATATAACCCCAAGGTAAGGCTCCTCAGGGGCCCTTTGAACCATGATCATCTTCTTTTTTTTAATTTATTTTTCAGTTTAAATTTAGATAAGAAACAAGGTTGCTTCACAAGTCAGTTCCAGGTCCCTCTCCCTTTCCCTCACCTCCGCCCGTGCCCTCCACCCAACCCCCCCATTATCCCCTCATTTCCCCAGGGAGGGTAAGGCCCTCCATGGGGGTGTCTGGAACCATGATCATCTTCTAAGCTATTTATTGTTCCTTGTATAGTGATGACATTGGCTCATTTCTTTATTTTCTAAAAATAAACTCTTAGTGAAAAGTTTTGTTAACTCATAAGGTTAACTATTTCATTTTTCATTTGGAAGTTATACAAGCATCCATTCTCAGTGCTGAATAAAGCAATAATTAAACAATACTGAAACTAGAACTTTCTTGTCATTCAAAAAGATTTTTCACTGTGTCTGTTTTCAGTTCAGTGGAACACTAGCTTGAATTATGATCACATTTGTGGGTTTTTTTTTTATTTTCGATGTCTTGCTATATAACCCAAGCTAGGTTTGAACTTGGAATCTTCCTGCCTCCCCTACCAAGATCCTGGATTGCTGGGATTATAGGACTGTGTAACCACATCTGGTTGGAAAGTCTATTTTTCTCAATGCTGCCTCACACAGCTGTCACTTTGTGTTTTCCCATTTTCAGTTTTTTTAAGACAAAAAAAATAAATTGAGCTGAGTTGATGGTGGTGTCACATGCCTTTAATTCCAGCATTTGGGAGGCATTTCTGTGATCTGAAGGCCAGTGGTCTACAGAGTGAGTTCCAGGGAAACCAGGACTGCACAGAGAAACCCTGTGCCAGTGGCAGTTGGTGGGGGGGGGTGCAAAATTGTTTATAAGACTCAAGCTTTTGCTTATTCATGGGTGATTCAGTGATTCCCCACCTTAAGATTTTCTGACTATGTAACCAAACTGGCCTCATTCTCAGAGATCTGCCGGCCCATGGCTGCTGACAGCCCTTTCATAAAATGAGTTCCTTGTGCCTCGCCCAGGGCAGACATTCTGTCTTCATTGGCGTCTTTGCTTACAGAATTTGCATTTGTTAGCTCCCCTCAGCATGTAATTTCTCAAAGTCTGTACTTTGTAGAGGAAGGCAGGGTTTGAAGCTAAGTCCTGTACTGGGAGTACAGAGAGGAGTAACACCTCACTAGCGCTGGAAAACAGTAGCTCAGATTCAGTGATGGAAGGTTTGTGGGTCAGATGATAAAGAATCACAATAGTAGGAGAGACGGTGTGAATCAAGTCTTTAGAGATCAAGTATTTGTGTTTGCTAGCATCTGAATTTAGTGTTACGTATTATCCAGACACAAAGTAGCTCTTATGTCTCACATGCCTGCTAGAGTATGGGTAGAAATAACTGGTGAGGCTGGCCATGGTGATACAAGCCTTATCATACTAGCATTTGGGAGGCTGAGGCAGGTGTATCTCTGTGAGTTTGAGGCCAGCCTCATGTACAAACTGAGTAAGGTAAGCCACACACACAAGAAAAAAAAAGGAAAGCAAAAGGATACAGTTGTGAGGTAGAATTCTTATGGTGGCAGCAATGATCCGTTGATTGTAATATTGGAAAAAATCATTCTATGCATATTTTATCCACCATCTACAGTTCCCCTGGCTTCTGTGGGAGCGAATGTATAGGACCTGTGTGGAATTGTACTTTACAGGCAAATTCTGGGTTGATGCTTGAGTTACCTTCAAATTTTAACAAAATGAGGATGAGAAGATAACAATTGCTGGGCATGGTGGTACATGTTTTTAATCCCAGTTCTTGGGAGGCAGAGGCAGGCAGATCTCTGTGAGTTCAAGGTTAGCTTGGTCTACATAGCAAGTCATAGCCAGAGTCTACCCTGCTGGGGTGACATATTGAGATCTTATCTCCAAAACACAAACAAAAGGAAACAAACTAGGTTGTGTCTTTGTGTGGTGCATTCATTGCCTCTTGAGAAGTCGGGGTGGGATTACGAGCCTTTTTGCCTGAATCATGTAGTGAGAACGTGCACGTTTCTCTCTTTATGAATACCAGGGAAAAATGATAGTTTAGTAAGCACACGGGAAGCATTAATAAGCTCTTATTCACTCCCTGGGTTTTTGGTGTTTCGGGTTCAAATTGCTATTGGTTGTCCCAGCTTGAAGTGAGAAGTGATCCACGATCTTTTGGAGTATGTGCCCCCTTCCCAAGAGGTGGTCTTTGCACAGAGCCCACTCCAATTTCATTATTGGCTTGATGGGTGAAGGAAAACTTGGAGAAGTGAATGTGTAGGACCAATACCAGGTCATTTAGTGCCATGCCATCGTGATAGGGTGACTCAAGGTCTTTAGTGTCCTTTAGGGGTTTATCAATGAGCAGGCCTGGGAACTCACATTGAAAAGGATTATAAAGGCTGGGACTCGATGAAACAGAGTTTCTCTTTATCTTTAGCATGCCTGTTATGTATATTGTGTTCTGTATTTAGTTGCCTTGGCATATCCTAGACTATTGACAATAACATACTTCTCTGTGGTGGGATTTAGCTATGGGGCTTAGGCTGTTCTTAAACTTGGAGTCCTCCTGTCTCAGTCTCCCAAGTACTGGGATTATAGGCACGTATCACATTGGGCTCATATTTTTTTGTTTTGAGAGGAGATGAGATCTCATGTATTCTAAACTGGCCTCAAACTTTAAATGCAACCAAGGGAACCCCCCAACCTCCAGAGAGCTGGGATTCCAGGTGCAACACCAAACCTGGATCATCCCAGGCTGAGAGTCAGATCCAGGGCTTCATGTGAGCTGGGAAAACACTGCCCACAGAGCCATAGCCTCAGCTAGTCATCTGGACTCTTACATTTTCAAAAGAATACTGTAAGAGAAAGGGGGAGTATGTTGATGTAAATATAACTAGCTATGGTTTGATATTGTATCTTTACCAAGTTCTGACAGTGTTGGAGGTTAAATTCTTCATTTCTTGTTTATTAAATGAGGCAACAATAGGCTTGATAGTCTTGTTATATGTATAAATGAGAGAAAATCAAAGTTCCTAGCATCAGACCTTAAATATAACAGATGCTCTAATTTTAGGTGTTAGTTTAGAAACAGCTATATAATTTTATAATTATAATTTTTGTTAACCTGGGACAATAAGATCCAGACATTGTTCAGTCTCCTCATGATTTGCATATACAGTCCAATTTTCAAACTTGGCCACTGTTAACTCCCAGTAGAGAGTAATTCTCCCATTGGCTTTGGTGTGCAGAGGTTTGCTGCGGTCATAATGAGGATCCGAGAGCCACGGACAACAGCCCTCTTATTTAGCTCTGGGAAGGTGGTCTGCACCGGAGCCAAAAGGTATGAGGATGGGGTTCCCACCCCGACCCCATGGGCAACTCATGATGTAAGAAAAGGAGCTTAGCATTTGTGTGAAAACTCATAGTAGGAGCAGCGTGTTTTTCTCTGTCATACAGTTAATGTGGGATTAGAAGTTCTTAAGTGGTGGCACATGCCTTTGATCCCAGTACTAGTCAGGCAGACCTCTGTGAGGTCAAGGTCAGCCTGGTCTACAGAGTGAGTTCCAGGATAGACTCCAAAGCTACAGAGAAACCCTGTCTTAAAAAACAAAGTTCATAGTCTTACATTTAATACTAAGCTGTATCTCACACTTTATAGTCCCCAATATTTGGTTAAAGTTCAGGGAACTTAACTGGACTAGAGGAGCTTGTTTTTAAAAACAAGTTGAGAACCGCTCCTCTACAGCATGTTCTGTCTTAAGGGAGTGCCCAATAGCTCTGCTGTCCACTGGGGTAGCCACTGGTTACTATGACTGTTAAGAAGAGGAAATAGGGCTGGAGAGATGGCTCAGCCGTTAAAGGCTAGGCTCACAACCAAAAAAATATAAGAAGAGGAAATATTTGGACTGGAGAGATGGCTCAGAGGTTAAGAGCACTAGTTGCTCTTCCATAGCTCCTGAGTTCAATTCCCAGCAATCACATGGTGAGATCTGGTGCCCTCTTCTGGCCTGTAGGCATACATGCAGGCAGAATAGTGAATACATAATAAATAAATCTTAAAAAAATAGGAGATATTTGAATTAGTTGAATAAACAGGTTTAGAATCTTGTTTCAGTTTAAGAATTTTTTTCAAACTACCAATCAGTATCCAAATTACACTTATAGACCCATGGTCTTTATTTTTCACATTGAGTTCTTCTCATGTACCTAAACGAGACTCTGGGCCTTCTATTCTACTGGTCTGTGGATCTCTGATCCCAGAAACCTCCATTCCTAAGTAATTCTAGGACAACTGTGTAAGATATATGTAGGAATGTTCTTTTAGCACAGTTTAAAACTGGGAATCCATATTAAGTATCTCAGGAGGGGTTTTGATTTAAGTCACAAACTGGAATTGTACTATATGTATGCACACATTGAGTAGTGTCATGGCATGAGATTGGTTGGGGGCAGACAAAATTGTAAGTTCATTATCTAACTCTGTGTTCATATCACATACATTGTATCTTTCTGGAATTTGGAAGCCAAATTCACATGGTAATAGTGAGTTCAGATAGAGACACAGGTTATCTGAATCTCTTTGGCTCCTGAGTTTTGCATAATGAGTTTTAAGCCTTTTGTTTATACAAGAGAGAGCATTATTATTGTCCAAACTCTATGAAAACCTATTTTCTGTAATGATAAGGATGAAGGATACATATTTGCTTAGGGATATGTGCAAAAGGCAAAATTCAAATAATTTTTACCATCTGTGATGAAACTTTAAGGTTTTAAATCTATTCTCTAATGTTGACACAATGGATTTGTGTAGACCTTGGGCTGTGGTCAAAATAGGAACCCATATGTGAAATTTCCAGCGAAGCAAGCCTTCCTTTACTAAATGCCTTAACTCCATTGCTAACTGGGGTATAGTCTTGCTAAGCCATGTCAGGAGTTAGAAGTGGGTGGGGGGAACCAAGGATAACTGAAGTAATGGGCATGACCCAATTCACTTAAGAGGACTGCGAGGGGCCTAGAGACGAGAGCACACACTTCGCTCGTTCAGGCAAGCTGAGTCAAAGCGGCTTTCCTTTTACAAACTGCTGGTTTACAACTTAAAGGTAGGCACACCCCACAAGGAAAGCTGTGTTCACAGAATTGGCTCACAATGCCCCCAGTCCAGCAGCCCCTGCCGCTCACTGTTGTTAGGGTAGGTGAACAATGTCGGGAGAAAACTACAGGCCCAAGTCCTGGGACTTCACATTCTCTGACATGAATTTGGGGTTGAGCATTTGAAGAATGTAGCTGCAAATTTTGATACATTTTCTCTCATGCTGAGTGTGAGAAAGCTGTGAAAAACTGGGCAAGTTTTAAAGAATTTAGATTTGTTTTTGACAATTCGTTTCATAAAGACCTAAGTCTATGCCACTCACTTGGCACATATCTGTCTTCCTTGTGCTGGGTAGATTTTTTTGCATGTTTTTGTACTTACTTTTGCTCCTATACAAATGGCTCACACACTTTTAGGCCAGAGAAGTCTGCAGGCTGTAGTGAGTACCAGAAGCACTTAGACGACTACAGACAGCAATTTGCTGGTCCCCAGACAAGAGTGTCTGTGTGTCAGAGGTCACACCTGAGTCATGGCCCCTCTAACAAGAGTTTAGGTCTGAGGACACACTTTGAGAAATAGTGCAGAAGTTAAGTCTTCCAATAACATTTCAAACAAAAGTATGTTATAGATGAGATGATCAATCAAAGTCATAGATGAGTTTGGGTGAGTTCAACAACTAATTGTACCAGACATTTAATGAGACACTGTGCACAAAGGTAGAGGAGGGAGATCCTTCTCATGGAGCTTCACTTTTTTTTTAAATTTTATTCCTGTGACTCTGGGAACCAAATCCAGAGTCTTACACATGTTAGGCAAGTGCTGTCACTGAGACACACCCCAGCCCACAGTCATACAGCTACACTAAAAGATGGACATAGGACATGTAGTAGAGATATGGTCTGAAGCATGGGCTACGAATACAACACAAATAGTAAAAGAGACGGGGTGGATAAGATGCCTAATCAACCAGGTTTATTAATAGGGGATGCAGTTTATTAACTAGGTGTGATGATGCGTGTCTGTAGTTCCAGCACTTGGGAGACTGAAGCAGGAAGATTGCACAAGTTACCTACTAGCCTGGCCTATAGAGCCAGACCCTATGCCACAAAACAATAGAAAAGCATCTTTAATTATGCTTGCATCTCCCCAGTGAAGAGGAGTCTCGACTGGCAGCGAGAAAGTACGCTCGAGTGGTGCAGAAGCTCGGGTTCCCTGTCAAATTCTTCAATTTTAAAATTCAGAACATGGTGGGAAGCTGTGACGTGAAGTTTCCCATCAGGCTGGAGATTTTGGCGCTAACCCACCGGCAGTTCAGTAGGTAGGTATGATGGCTTTCAAGCTTAACCTCACACTTGCTAAGCTGTAGCAGGTATAAGATTCAGGCTGTTAGCCAGTAGAGCCTCCATGGGACCGAACTAGGCTCTCTGCATGCGGGAGACAATTGTGTCGCTGGGTCTGCTTGAGAAGCCCCTGACCTCAGGACCAGTATCTATACCTGGTGCATTAGCTAGCTTGTTGGAGCCCATTCCCTAGGGTGAGATGCCATGCTTAGCCTTAATGCAGGGAGGAGGGCGTTGGTTCTGCCTCAACTTAGTGGGCCAGCCTTTGCTTGACCCCTCATTGGAGCCCTTACCCTGTGGAAGGAGTAGGTGAAGGGATGGGTAGAGGGGGAAGGTGAGGGAGATGGGAGGAAAAACTGTGGTTGTGGAATGCAAAATGAAATTAAAAAACAATAAACTTTAAAAAAAGAATCAGGCTGAGATCCCATCTAGTCATGTTTATTTGGGAGGGGCCGTCTTTTGTGCAGCTGTAACTGCCTCAGCAGTGCTGTATTTACAGTATCCTTAGCCTAAGGGAGCATTCTAGTCTTCCTGGCTTCTTTAATCCTAATCTACACAGTCAGACTGGCTCCTTGGCTTCATCTCAGCCCTCAGAGACTGCTCTGGTTTCGGAGAGCAATACCACACCCTCCACCCCTGGATATATGTCTGGGTTAAAGTAGCTGACCTAATGTAGCATGGCAGATGCTTTTACACTCTCTTGGCCAGTTCAGTCTCATTCCAACCTTTTGCCTCCTCTGAGAGTGAACAGTGAGTCTGTCCCATCAAGTGGAGAAGGGGCAGTGGAAGGGGTTTTGTTGGCTTTCCTTTCAGATCCAAACGTTATGAACGTTTAAACGTCTGGACTTTCCTTAACTGCCAAGCTGTAGTTTATTCTGAGATTTAGCTTGGGTAATGCTTTCTTCCTCCCTCTGTTTATCTCCACTCTTCTGCACGGTTTGCTTACTGAGGGACTATGGTATCTGTCATGTCTTTTTATTTTTCAAAAGTCAGTTCAGTGGACCTCTTCCTCATGCAGCATACATCACCTCTGTGTGTGTTTTCTTTCCTAACCTGAGGTAATTTATATAGTACTTGTTCCATTTTAAGTATGTGTACACATTATATCTTCCAGTTTCTTGAGCCACAGGACTCCAGTCTCCCTTCTCAGAACACACAAATGAGGTTCACCTCAACTTGGAGCGCAGCCGAGGTAGACTCCTTGCTCTCCTTTCAGGCCAAATGGGGCTCAACACATGTGCAATTCTCCTTCCTTTTCCCCCTTCCTTTCTCAACAACAGAGAGATTGCAGTTGACAGTGAAAGTCATTGTCACCGTTTTCACTTTCCAAAAAGCAGAGTTGCCAGAAGAGCAAGATCAGAGTCAGCTGCCTGGCTTTCATCTTCTTGAAGAGGCCCCCACCAGTCTCTAGGTCCTCGTTGGTCATGGTTATGAGCTCAGTCACTTTTGTTTTGTATGACTGGAAAGTGTACTTTGTATTCCAGAGACTGTCTCTTTCTGATCTGGTGCTGGTCTCCCTCAGAAGAATTCTGTCAGGCCTCCATCCACAGGACACAGATCTCAACTGCGCTCTCTTTCTGTGTGTGTGTGTGTGTGTGTGTGTGTGTGTGTGTGTGTGTGTGTGTGTGTGTGTGTTCTCTTCACATTGGGTACCTTAAGGATACTTTTCTATGCAGAGAAAGGGATTTGTTTTTAGTTTTCTTTTTTTCCGATGCCTGTAGCTTTCAGGAAACATCACACTGATTAGTCATGATCAGTGTCAAGTGTGCCTTATGTTTAAACCTCAAGTTCATCTTTAATTTAGGGTCCGAAAGTGTGCATGTCAACATGTAATACAGGTGTGTCCTGGCTTTGTATTTAGTTTTGAAATAAGGTCTGGCTGTGTCATCAGGGTGGCCTCACACTATAGCAACCCTCTTGTCTCAGTCTCCTGAGTGCTAGGATAACAACCATGCATCACCATTTCCTGGGTGCTGAACCTGGGGCCTCGTGTCTCTTAGGCAAGTGCTCTACCACTGAGCTACATCACCGCTGCAGCCTCTCCCTTGCTACTTTCTCTGTCAATCTGTGTCTCAATCCTCTTTATAGGTTTCTGTGAGCATTTTCCCTTCTGTTTTAAACTCAGAAATATGCTGACAGTAATTACTCGTTAAGGGTCTAAAATCCAGGTGAGTATTGTTGGTAGCAGATGAAAAGGTTCTACTGGCCACCTAGGTAACCTTAATCCCTTGCCCACATGGAGTTTGCTGACTAACATAAAGGCAAACTGTCAAGGTAAGTGCTGAACTGTGGAAGTCACTATGGAGCTAAGACTGCTCTTTGTGCAATGGGACCCTAGCAGGGTGCTCTGTGTATGTAGATTTGGAGTCAGGGAAGTGCTTCTGGAGAGGTGACACTGGAAGTTGAACTGGCCAAGGGCTAGTCAGGTGTTTGCTATTTACTCTCTAGGATGGTCTCTGTCCTCCCTTTCTCTGGGATGCAGCCCTCTTTTATTTATGCTTATACACAGGATAAGTGACACATCTCTAACTAGGAGCTCATCATTTAAAAAAGGTGGTTTGGAAAGTGACCTCCATACTCTTTGCGAGTGTCACCTCCTCGATGGGATCACCTTTCTGTTCTCAGCAAGGACTGCTACAGTTTTATTTGCTGAAGAAGTGCAGGTGCTTGTGGTGTGGTTCATCCTCTACACATGAAGGTTTGGGTAGATCCTAGTATATTTCTTTTCAGATGTCTTGTTTTCCTTCTGTCTGTTCCCCATCTCCACCATTTCCGTGGCTCTTCACCCTTCTCTGGGATGGAATGTGGAAACAGAATTCTTAAACCCTATCCTTTACTTCATGGAGACCCAGCACATATTTTCTAGCAAGTCTGAGTGAATATTACATGTTTGATACAATGCAGTCTGGTCCCTTTGTATAGCAGCTGTCCAAAGACAGGTAGCTGTGGTCTTGAACTACCTTTAGGTTCTACTTGCTAAAAATGTTTAGCAAGTTATACATTCTTAATGTTGGGAATTTGGAAAATCCAGAAAAATGTGCTTATGCTGTTACCGGCAAGCTTTAGCTGAGTGATAAAAGGCAGAAAACATTTAACTAACAAGATCTTCAACTATCAAATATGATGCTGAAAGTTAACCTCAATTTCTAATGATCTAGCATTATTTACAAATGAGAAAGACAATATAATAAAACGTTAGCACTTAAGCTTAGCATGGTCACTGGGTGGCAGTGGCACACGCCTTTAATCCCAGAATTCAGGAGGCAGAGGTAGATGGGTCTCTTGAGTTTGAGGCCAGCTTGGTCTACAAAGTGAGTTCTAGAACAGCCAGGGCTACCCAGAGAAACCCTGTTTTTAAAAACAACAACCAACAAACAACCCAAACCCAAACCCAACCAACTAAACAAACAAAAGAAGCTTGGGTATGTTGGTATTTGCCTAGAATTGAACTTCTAGAACTCAGGAAGCAGAGGCACGAAGACCACAAATTTAAGGCAGCATATGAAGGGCTGGGCCAGTCTTGGAAACATGTGGAGGTACCCTGTTTAAGAAACGAATAAAATGTAATAACTCTTGAGATAGTCTCACTGTGTATCCCAGACTTGCACTTTCAATCCTCCCTTGGCTTTCCACATGCTAGAATTACAGGCATATGCCGCCAGGTCAGGCTCATCCAAAAATTCTGTTTTTGACTATCTTAAGTGTATGCTAAGGGTAAGGGTTGTAGCCTAGTGTCATAGCACTTGCCTAAAATGTGTGAGGTTCTAAGTTTAATCCTAGCATGAAAAAAAGATGTCTCCACTTAAGATATTATTCCTTTTTTCCTCAATATGTTTTTATTTAAATTAGAAACATGAATGCTTCACGTGTAATCCCAGCTCCCTCTCCCACCCATCATCCCTTATCCCTCCATCAGCTCCCCTCCAGCCCCCCCAATCCCCATATAATTCCCCAGGGAGGGTGAGGCCCCCCTTGGGGGAATCTCCAGAGTCTGTCATTTCATCCAGGCCAGGACCTAGGCCCTTTCCCATGTGTCCAGGCTGAGAGAGAGCATCCCTCTATTCGGAATGGGCTCCCAAAGTTTATTCATACGCCATGGTAAACACTGATCTACTACCCAAGACCCCAGAGATTTCTGAGGCCTCCTCACTGACACTACATTCATGGAGTCTGGATCAGTCCCCTATTGGTCTCTCAGCCATCAGTCTGGGGCTCAAGAGCTCCCCCTTGTCCGGTCAGCATCAAGACATTATTCTTACTGAGATAGCTGAAAGGTTTTTAGTAAAATGGCACATTTTACAACTGTGATATGAAGTTTAATGTGTGGGATCTTGAATGTTCTAGGAAAGTAGTGGACAATAGTGTAATTTATCACTTTATGTCTCAGCAGTTATGAACCCGAACTGTTTCCTGGCCTTATTTATAAGATGGTAAGACCACAGGTGGTGTTGCTCATCTTTGCCTCTGGAAAAGTTGTGTTGACAGGTAAATTTAAGGTTATTATCTCACATTCAAAATGTAAAGTGATGTGTGTGCTTTGCTTGTCCTCCATAACAAGGTAACTTTTGCTGTACTGTGGAAAATAGTAAAGGGGATATGACCTCATTCAACGATCTCAATTCTTAAAATGATACATTTTCACGTATTACTTGATGTGTGTTTTTATCTTGCCATCCTGCTTTATATCGACCATTATTGTGCATGAAGCTTAACTTGCTGCTTCAAACTCTTCAAGGAGGCTTCCTAATAAAGCTGCACAGTGTTCCTACAGATTTTCTGTAAAGGCCAAACATTAAATATTTAGAATTTGTGGCCCCAAGAGTCTCTGCTGGAACTGGCATCATATAGAGGCTTTGGACTGTGAGTTATGTGACTATGGGAATATGTGACTACAATTTAAGTGTGTCACATAATAGTACTCTTTTATTTTCTCCCAATCACTTAAAGATATAGTCATTCTTGTGTCACAACTGACACATACAGTCACTACTCTGGCTTTGCCAGGTGCCCTATACTTCCTGAGTCCTGTTCTAACAGGTTACTGAGTAAAATTTGTCCTCCATTATCAGATACTTCTATGTTCCTTCATGCTTGTTACTTATAAATAGGGCAATCATTTGGCTATCTTATTTGGGGACAATTATTAGTGCAAGTGCTCAGAAGCTGAAGTTTTGTTTAAATATATTACTGCTTTCAAAGTTTTTAGTATAAATTTCCAAATTCTTTTATATCAAACCTTCCTTCCAACAGGGTATCTAAACATCTTTTGACCAAACTTCCAGCAGCAGAAGACTGGATATGGTAGTATTAACCTTTGGTGCTACCTCTTGGGTAGAAGAAGCAGGCAAATCTCTGAAAAAAGAGGTCTGCCTGGCCTGCACAGTTCCAGACCACCAACCAGAGTTACATAATAAGACTCCCCTCTTTGCCTCCCCCACAAAACTTAGCTAGTTCAAGTCATTGTATTGGTGGTTGGTGTGTCACCTGGCTAAAATATGGAGATGCATTCACAAATCTGATGTCCAAATGATGGACCCTTAATTTTTCGTACCTACCAGGTACATGTACTGTTGTTAGGATGCCAGTACCTATCTGGCAGCAATCCAGCCCTGTGGAGACAGATGGTGGAGTTATATGTTGCATTGGATCTCACTGAACCAGAAGATAAGCCATATGTACTTAGACTAATTCTCCAGTGTCCCTGATCCTGTTGTATATTCTTCAAGGACCATAAAGTGGCCTAGGTTTTTGTGAAGTGTTGTGGTTTTCAAGGGACTTCACACAGATGTTAGTGTACATAACCCCCTCCCTACTCTGTGATAAGGCTTTCTGTCTTTCTGGTAAGGAACTGCCATTTGGGCTCTTACTCAATTTCAAGCTGGTCCTTTCTGAACGGAGCACAGGTGGTATTCGGTTGGTAGCTTCTGGTGTAAAGGAATGAACACTGGCTGCATGTCTCCTTCAATGCTGCTTCATGATTTAGGTAACTTCAATTTCTTGGGCCTCTCTTCTTTCATTTATGAAATAAAGGGAACTGTACACTCGATTGTGTTGGAAATCATTGTTGCTAAAGTAAAATACTGGCTGTATTTCTGCTTCCCAGGGGTCTCCAGGTGGTATGTTCTTCATGTTTGAATGCAGTGCTCATGGGTACAGTATTTTATATAAAGTCTTACAGAAAAAGCAAATCAGAGTTTATCCCAAATGCCGAGCCTGGATGCCCTGTTCCTCAAAAATCCGTAAAAAGAATGTCTACCCTGGGGTTTTCTTTGCTGTGCATGCTTGCCTCACCTATTACATGCAGTTTTCTGACTCACCTATCACATGCCATTCTCTGATGGCGAGAAGCCTATTCCTGATACAGGTGTTCACAAGCCAGAGGCAAGTTCTTCGTCAGTGGCCTTGTACTCTTTGGTGTTCCCATCTCACTATTCTGTTTACATAAAACTGATCTCTTTGGAAAGGGAAACTTTAGTATTCTAACTCTGATAAGACTTTGAGGGATTTCCCACCCCAAAGGTGCAGAATTTCTCTTATCTTTCAGTAAAAGGTGAAAGATTTGTACACCAGAGTGTATCTTTTAATAACTTTTTCCTCCCTCTTCTGTCTTTCAGGATGTGGACCTAAATTGTAAACTCCTTACTTAGCAAGGAATGAATGAATGAATAGATAAATAAGTAAATAATTTTGCCATTAGCAGCCAAAAAATAAATTAGACTTACAAGACTTCCTCCTCACTTTTTTTTTCTCCTTTTAAAAATTTAAATTAGGAACAAGCTTGTTTTACATGTCAATTCCAGGTCCCTCCCCCTCCCCTCCGCCCCTGCCTCCCACCGACCCCCATCCCATCCTCTTTCTGCTCCCCAGGGAGGGTGAGGCCTTCCATGGGGGATCTTCAAAGTCTGTCACATCATTTGTAGCAGGGCCTAGTTCCTCCCCGTGTGTCTAGGCTGAGAGAGTATCCCTCTATGTGGAATAGGATCCCAGAGTCCATCAGCCACTAGTGTCTGTTGTCTGGGTTTACCTATTTTGGATGTTTCATTTAAATGTAACTGTTCCTACCTTTTTGGGGTGTGTGTGTGTGTGTGTGTGTGTGTGTGTGTGTGTGTGTGTGTGCCTGGATTTGTTTCAACTGTTGAGGCATGTCCGAAGTTTGTACTGTTTATGACTGAATGATACTCTATTGTGAGCATACACTGAGATTTTTATTCATCAATAGCCATAGAGGTTGCTTCACTTTTTATTATTATAACTGCTGTTGCAATTCCGGTCTTCACTGTATTTCTGCTTTTAGTTTTGTTGAGGGGTTTACTTGAGTGGAATTATTGGGTTGTGTGCTGATCCCTTAACTTTTGAGCAGCACCCCAACTTGAGGGCTGAACCCTAGTTTACAGTCCTCTAGCAGCGCAGAGGTTACTGGACTCCACATCCTGACTGTCAGTTGGTTTTTTCTTTAGTAAAAAGCATTACAGCTCATCCTTGATCTGGTTGATCTTTTTGAATCTTCTCCCTCATTAGACCTGGAGCTAAGCCATATAATCACTCTCAGATTTCCTTCTTTCTTCCTTGCAAGCTCTGCATCTCTGAAGAAAGGGTTCTATGACTTCAGATATTCCAAATTATTTACATACTTAGCAGGCTGTTTGTTTTTGAAACAGTCAGCTCTGTAGCTCAGGAGGGCTTTGAACTTATGATGCTCCTGCTTCAGCCTCCCGAGTGATAGGTTATAGGCATGTATCACCACACCTGGTGCCAACCATTTTTTTTGTTTCTTCCATTAACCTCCTATCTTTGCTTTCTGCCCACAAATACACCAGATAGAAATTCCTGTTTAGCTGAAACTCCAATCGCACATAAGAAGAACCAGTCCGTAACACTCAATGGGTTGCCCCCTATCCACCTTTGAAGGTGGAAAGGGTAGTGATTGATGGTTGCTGGTGAGAGATAAGTGGGAACTGACTGTCCAATCTGTTTTTAGTGGTCTAAGTGTATATAGTCATATTAGGTATCAGCAACTGTTACCTATAAGACTCAAAGAATGAAAATGATATACATCTTTCCTCTGATTACATCCTATGTGTCAAAGTTGGGAACTCTTAGAATAACTAGCTTGTCTGATACTATGAAGACAAGACACTAACAAGAAATGAGTGGATCCAAGGAAGTCATTTTTGCTACTAGCTAACTTCACAGGTGCTGGGAATGTAACTCTGTCATTTTGTAGCACACTTGCAGAACATTCCATTTTTCTTTACTGGGCCTTGTATTATCAAAGACAACATCCATAGAGAGGAAATGCTAAAGGAATATTTGTCCTATGGAATGTGATTTGGTGAGACTATGGTTATAGTGCCCCTCCTCCAATTCTTTTATTAGAAAGACATGCCACCTATCTCTAACAACTGAAGAGGTATTATCTAGAAACCATCAAAAAACCCCACATCATTGTAATCCTAGCACTGGGTGGCAGACATAGATGGATCTATACTGAGGTCACCCTGGGCTGTTTAGCTAGAGACCATGCTCACCCTCCAAAAAAAGCTCAGTAATTTAATATGGTGAAATGAAATTTTAGCATTAAAAATGTTTTTGTTGTTGTTATGTTAAAATTTATATACACTTGGATTTCTTTATAGGTGCCAAAGAGCGTTCTGAGATCTACGAAGCATTTGAAAATATGTATCCTATTCTAGAAAGTTTTAAGAAAACCTGAGTGTATCATTGGATTTTTCATATTGTAGCAATTTGGATATATGCTTAAGCATAGCAGAGAAAGAGTGGGTTTTTTCTACACATGACTGTAGAAGTCTCCCGTGCTGTCCAGCAGTCCCTGTTATTATGCTAATAGGATTGTGTTTCTAGTTTGATTTTTGCTTTAGCTTGGAAATGGTGTCTGCTATGTAGCCCAAAATGTAGTTTAATTTATTACAAGGTGATTCTGTGTCAATAATCACTATTAAAAAATGAAAATTTCTTACTCAAAGATGACTGTTGTATGTTACTTAATTATTAAAACATTTCAGGCTTTTCCAGACTGAGGCTTTATTTTTAAATATGTAATGTATTAAAATGTGTCTCTGAAGGCAGTGATACATCTAGATACTATCAGTAGAAAATCATGTTTAGTTTTTTGTTATTCTTTTTCTATTTGAAGTATAAAAGAAATGGAATCCAGACCCTTTGGTATCAGATACTGTGAAAATTGCCTTGGGGGAGTCAGTGAAATATCTCGAACCTTAAAATCCTTTGTTTGAAATGACCATATGAAATTGTTCTCCAGTTGCCACCAGCCTCGGTTATTTTGTTTTTTGCTTGTTTGTTTGTTTTTTTTTCTGTATTGTTTTTCTCTGTATTGTTTTGGAGGCTATCGGTCCAGCCCGGCCTCGAACTCACAGAGATCCGCCTGCCTCTGCCTCCCAAGTGCTGGGATTAAAGGCATGCGCCACCACCGCCCGGCTTATTTTGTTATTATACTAACAGCATTGTGTTTGCTTCCTTGTTTGGTTTTTCAGAAATCATTCTGGTTTAGGGAATCGTTTGGGCTTTTTTGATTACTTTCCTAATACTATCTGATTGCATTTAAACAGACCCTGGAGAAGGAGCCAAGAGTTCAGGCCCAAGATCTAGGTAGGTTGTGGTCACCAGAATTTGATGATGGACACGGGAAGACTGACAGTCTGCTTTCTTGTGACCCAGGCTCTAGGCCACACATGGCTACTGATATTGTCCTTTCTAAGGTAGACAAGCCTGCAGGTAGAATTCATGAGAAATGTCTCTTGGTTCCTAGGAGGCAGCTCTGAGCGATGGCTGTGTGATCTGGGGCAGAGATTCAGAGCTTGCATCAGTGGACAGCCTGCTGAAGGAACCCTTGAGAATCACTTGTCCAAGTGGAACTACAGCTCCCTTTCTCTGGTCTCCACAATGGTTCAGAGGCACAACCAACAACCTGATATAAACCCTCTCTCTCTCGAAAGAAACTTAGGGAAGTCAAGTCCATATTCTCTTAAAGCCTGGCACAGGGGGTATAGAAGGACAAAGGCCACTAGAACTCAGATTTCTGGCTTTGCTGGTGGCACATGCCTGTAATCCCTTTGCCCAGGAGGCTGCTACAGAGCAGGTTTGGGACTGTAAGACAGCACAAGCTCCATAGAAGGCACTATCCATTAAAATAAGATTTCAAAAATCTACAACTTTGATTTGCACCTTTGGCATGTTTTTCATTGATGTGCTCGTAAAGTGTTAGGCTGCAATAGGTTTTTGTATTAACTCTTTGGACATTATGGAGACACCACAATCATATCCACAACTGGGTGAAAATCAGGCAGAGATTAAGGGGTTTTCATCAAATCTCACAGCAATTAAGGAGGAAGATGAGCCAAACTTCAAACTAGCCCCTGAGATGGAACTTCCAACTTTGCTTCCTGCAGTTTTAACCAAACCTCAAAGTATCTTTAGCAAATAAAATTAATTGTTCCATTCCACACCATATGCAGAGGATAGAATCCTTGGAACACCCTGTTACTATGCTTTAAAAAACACAAAGGCATCCACGTGGCTCAGCAGGTGTTACAGCCCTGCCTCTGGAGAGCGCTGAGGAGGACACTGGGTGCCCAGAATCCCTGCCCAGGCCTTTGTAATAAACCTGGTCCCAGGCCCCTCTCCAGGCCTCTTTAACTCTGCCATGACCTTCGGACCACTTCCCCCCATAAGCCCCCATCCCCATCCACTGGCCATTGAGCCTGACTACCTACCTAAGTTACATGGGTCCCACATATTAGAAAGGACAGCTTCATTTATTCTCTGACCTTCACATACATACTGTGGAATACCCTCCTCACCCCTCACATAGTCAAAGAATTTATCAAAGGGCTCCAGCACAGAAATGTGCAGACTACAGCACATTTCTATATGCTACATGTGAAGGTTCCAAGTCAACAGGTGAAAAACTAAAGGTGGTGTTTGACCTCTTCTGGCAAATAAATCTGGAGTCATAATTAATATAGCCTCCTGTGTGTTTATTTGGGACTAATGGGGCTCTAGAACCAGGCTGGCGGGAAGGCTTCACTCAAGGAAAAGGTTTCTCTTTACATGTCTTAGTTAGGATTTCTATTGCTATGAAGAGACACCATGACCATGGCAACTGTTATAAATAGGAAAACATTTAATTGGGGCTGGCTTACTGTTCATTATCATAATGGCAGGACATGCAGACAGACTTGGTGCTGGAGAAGATGAGTTCTATATCTTTGATCCACAGGCAACAGAGGCATCTGTGTTTCACTGGGTGTGATACCTCCATGCCTGCCTCCAACAAGGCCACACCTACTCTAACAAAGCCACACCTCTTTTTTGTTTTTGTTTTTTGAAACTTATTTTTTAATTTTATATTTAAATTAGAAACAAGCTTGCTTCCCATGTTAGTCCCAGCTCCCTCTCCCTCCCCTCCATGGCTTTTCCCCCCTACCAGCCCCATCAACCACCACCCATTCCCCAGGGAGGGTAAGTGCCTCCATGGGGGATCTCTAGAGTCTGTCATTTCTTTCCTGGGAGGGCCCAGGGCCTTCCCCAAGTGTCCAGATTGAGAGAGCATCCTTCAGTGTGGGACGGGAGCCCAAAGTCCAATTGTATGCCAGGGATAAATATTGATTTACTACCCAAACCCCCATAGATTGTCTCCTCACTGACACCCACATTCAGGGGTCTGGGTAAGTCCTATGCTGGCCTCTCAGCCATCAGTCTAGGGTCCAAGATCTCCCCCTTGTTCAGGTCAGCTGTTTCTCTGGGTTTCACCAGCCCAGTCTTGACCCCTTTGCTCATCACTCCTCCCTCTCTGTCACTGGGTTCCAGGAGTTCAGTTCAATGTTTAGTTGTGGGTGTCTGCCTCTGTCTGTCACTGGATGGAGGTTCTAGGATAGTATATAAGATAGTTGTCAAAAGCATTATCAGGGAGGGGCATTTAAGGTAGTCTCTCCACTGTTGCTTAGTTTGCCAGTTGGTGTCATCCTTGTAGATCTCTGGAAATCTCACTAGTGTCAGATCTCCTCTCAAACCTATAATGGCTCCCTCTGTTATGGTATCTCTCATCCTACTCTTCTCTATTCTTCCCCCAACTCATGTCCTCCTCTCCCCTCCTCTTTTCTCCCTCTCCTTTTCCTGGCTCCCTCTTCCCTCTCCCCATGCTCCCAATCTGCTCAGGAGATCTTGCCTCATTCCACATTCTCTGGGGTACCATGCATCTCTCTCTTAGGGTCCTTCCTGTTTCCCAGACTCTGTGGCAGTGGGATTATAGGCTGGTAATCTCCTGGTCCATGTCTAAAATCCATATATATGAGTGAGTATATACCATGTTAGTCTTTTTTGTGACTGGGCTACCTCACTCAGGATGGTTTCTTCTAGTGTCATCCATTTGCCTGCAAATTTCAAGATTCCATTGTTTTTTTTTTTTTTTGCTGCTGAGTAGTACTCCATTGTGTAAATGTACCACATTTTCTCTATCCACTCTTCAGTTGATGGGCATTTGGGTTGCTTACAGGTTCTGGATATTACAAATGATGCTGAACAGATGTTCTTATTGTATGAATGTGCATCTTTTGGGTATATGCCTAAGAGTGGAATTGCTGGGTCTTGTGGTAGGCTGATTCCCATTTTCCTGAAGAATCTCCATACTGATTCCATAGAAAGCCACACCTCCTAATAGAGCCACTCCCTATGGGGATCATTTTCTTTCAAACCACCACAGCCTCACTGCTTCCACTTGCTTCTCTCCTGCCATTTGGAATGCAGAGACCATGGTAAAATAAAATTATATTCATAACCATAGCCATGTCTGAGGTAGCCCTGGGATTACAGAAATGTTCCATTTTTTAAATGAATGGTACAACCCTGGGAACCATTGTGTTATGTCTCCTAGCTTCCATGTACATTGTGTACATATTATTCTATACAGGAAACACCAACAGTAAATGGCAAAGAGGTTATGGCAAGACTTAAGTGTACAAGAAGAGCTATGGTTATGACAGCAGGATGGGGGCAGGGTGGAGATTAGAAGGATCTCAGCAGTTAAGAGCATAGGATGTTCTTTCAGAGGTCCTGGTTTGCTTCTCAGTACCCACAGAGGCTGGCAGCGAGTCAGATGTCCACCTGTAATGTCAGTTCCAGGATATGCAGCGCCCTCTTCTGGTCTCCACCAGCACTTGGCACTTAGGAGGTGCACTCTCCAATACAAGCAGGCAAAACATCCATAGACATAAGATAAAAATGAGGTGGGGCACACAGATCTGGTACAGGTCCTAATTTCAACCATGGCCCCCAAAGCATTCCCTAGTCAGAAAACTCCAGATGTACTTCTGCCCTAATAGAACCACAGGACATCTGTAGCCAATTAGAATAACCTGCAACCACAGAAATACCCTCATCACTTAACAAGAATTGCTTCCTGGGAAAAGGCACGGCAAAGTTGTTCACCCTAACCTAAAGAGGACTGCCCCTCTTCCTCCTCCTCTTCCTCTTTCCCTCCCTTCTTCTCTTTCCTCTCCATTATTATTGAAAATATTCTTTTATCATCAAATAATGTATTCTGAATTTGGTTTCCCTCCTTTTACTCCTTCCAGTAACTCTCCATCTCCCACTCCATCCAGATCTATTCCCCTTCTCTCTCTAGTTAGAGAAGAACAGGCTTCTAATAGATAATAAAGTGCAATAAAATATAAGACAAAAGCTATTGCATGGAGTTGGACAAGTCAAGCAGAAGGAGCCCAAGAAGAGGCACAAGAATCAAGGGTCCCACTTATTTGCTCACTGGGAAATCACATAAAAACATTAAGCTGGAAGCCAACACACACACACACACATATGTGCATATATGTGTATTATGTATATGTATATATATATATGTATATATATATATATATGCTGTTTTATTCTATGAGTTCATGTGAGCTTGTGTTAATTTAGAAGGCTTTGATTTCTTGGTGTTCTCCATCCTCTTCTGAAGGGTTCCTTGAGCTTTGGGGGCAGGGATTTGATGGATTCATCCTACCCAGTGTTTCAAGGTTTCTGATTGCCTGTATAATGTCTGGCTGGGAGTATCAGTGAACCTACTGAAGGAGAAAACTTCTTTGATGATGGCTAAACAAGATACTTAAGCTGTGAGTATAGCAGAATATCATTAGGAGTCACTTTTTCCTTTTTGTTTTTTAGTATTTGGTCTTCTGCTTGGTTCCTGGACTATATACTTTCAGGTTCTTGGTTACCCAAGCAGCATCAGGTATGGGTTCCATCTTGTGGAGGAATGGCCCTTAAGTCAATAAGACAATGGTTGGTTATTCCCACAAGCTTTGGGACACCATTGCCTTAGCATATCTTGCAGGCTGGACAACATTGCAGATTAAAGGGTTTGTAGTTGGCTTGGTGATTATGTTTCTCTTTTGAGAGAGTGCAGAATACCATCCTGTATCAAAGAAACTAGAATGCAACGGTGAAGGCTCTATATAAGCACTAATTAGATTTCTCCATGTTCACTGATTTGTACAAGTATTGTCTTCAGCAATTGGGCCTTGATGTTCAGCTCATGGAGTGCAGCCTACAGTATTGGCACCAGCCTGGGTGTCGCATCCGCCACGCAGCCTGTGTCCGAGAACGTGCGGAGGGTGTCGGGGATTGACAACACAGAGACTCGTTCAACGGTATAAGGAAAACTTTAAGCAGGCCCCAAAAAGGCTCAAGAAAACTTCCTAAGAAAGGCTCCCTCCAGAAAAACTTCTGCTCTCTCCTCTCCCCTGGCTGGTTCTGCTCTGACACCAGAGGTGGATGTGGGTGGGTCTGAAGGTGCGGTGCGGTTAGTCTTTGGACAAGGTCAAGGTCAGGGCGATTTCTGTGGGCAGGCCTTTTCCAGGAACTTATTGCCCCGGGCATTGTATTGGTTTTAGTAAACATGTTTTTAGTAAACATTGTCTTACAGCTGCCTACTCCCAGGCCGAAGGGGAAGTGGGTCTCTGCTCAAGGTCTGGTGTCCCCACACTGGGTTTTTTGGGGAGTCCCATGGAACCCCTTTGGCCAACAACTCAATTAGATGTGACACAATTCCAATACTAGAGGCTTCATTTAGTGACAAGAGATGACCAGTTGAAACCCATCTCTCCAGTTATTTGACAATTTCAGTTAGATTGCCTTTATAAAATAGGATA